CAGGTACAGGCAAATCACTGAAGAGATGACCAAAAATGCTCATACATAAGAAAAGATAAAGGGAAATAAAAATAGAACAAAAATGAAATGCCATTTCATACCAATCAGATCGGAAAAAATCAAAAAGAGTCTGACAACACTAACTGCTGGTAAGGATATGGAGAAACAGAAATTGTGAATATTCTATAAATATCCTGTAAAAGGAAAATGCTCATATCCTAAGACCCAGGAATTTGACAATCAGGTATATGACCCGGAGAAACTCTGGCATGTTGCTTCAAGAGATACAAGGATGTTCACAAGGCACTGTTTACAATAGACAAAAAATGAAAACAATCTAAATGCTCATCAATAGAGGAAATAATAAACTGCAGTATATTCACATTCAATGGAATACTACACCCCACTCAAAACGAATGAACCAGACCTACAGAGCCAATAATGGTTGAGGGGGAAAAAAAGTAAAATGAAATGTAAAAAGCAAGTTTCAAAATATATATACCATGACACAATTATATTAAAAACTGCTTAAATTTACCAGCACATTAAAAAAAAAGTGCCAGGCACAGTTTTAAGCACTTTAAGTAAATAAACTCATTTACTTTTTACAACAACCTTACAAGGTAGACATTTATATTATCATTCTTTGACAGATGAGGACTCTGAGGCATGGCGAGATTTAAAACCTTTGCCTAAGGTCACAAAACTATTAAGTAGCAGAGTCAAGATTCAAACCAAGGGAGTGTATGGCTCCAAAGTCCACACTCTTCAAAAGCATCTAAAGTAATGCCATGTACTACTGTTCATATAGATAGTTTATTAAAAGGTAACTGGAAGGATACACATCTAATTTATCATAACAATTGCCTCTGGGAGGGGATATCAGGAGAGAGGGAGGGAAGATGAAACTGGGGAGAACAAAAGGAACTTTAACTTGATTAGCAATGTTCAAGTACAGTATAAAGTTCTACACTGCTCTTTTAGAATTCAGTGTGATAACTATAATATATATAATTCTTTTATATTAAATATATATCTGAGGCAAAAATGAAAAATGTTAACATTTTGTATGATGGGTATGTGCGTGTTTACTACTTTTTTTGTAATTTTCTGTATTTTTAAAACTTTCCAAAAAGAAAAATGTCTCATCTATAAAACAATATTACAACAGAAATAAAAAGAAATTTAAGAAATTTCCAATCTCCATATTTCAGCTTTTATTTGGAAATGAAAACAGCTAAACTGTGAGTTTATGTATATATCTATACTTTAACAGACATATGGAAAATGCATTTTTACATGGCTCAAAAGAGATACTAAAAGTACACCAAAAACAGTGTCTCTTACTATACATTTTGATGACTCACTATTCTCAGTGAAAATAAAGTATAGCAGTAGCAGGAAAACTCCCTTGATATCTTTCTCTTTTTTCTTGAGAGTTTGCTCTCTGTTGCTTTCTACTTGTTTGTGCTTTTTACAAGGAGGGAGCAAGAAGAAGGTATCAAGAAATTGTCACACACGTTAAAAATAACAATAACAGCTATAGATGAACATATATGCAGCCCTTCTGAATACAAGATTCCCCAACATCCAATCAAGTAATGTTCCAAAAATTTATTTGTAAATTGGTTGTCTGGAACTCAGAATATATTTTCCCATAAAGAAAGTTAAAAAAGGATACGAACATCAGGAAGAAGATACTACCTGAGGTGCCAGGCCATGAGCGGGGAAAGAGGAAAAGCAGAGCACACAATATGCACCGATGGCCCAAGAAGAAAAGAAAAGGTTCTCAACCAGAGTTTGAGGACAGACATCATGTTTCATTAACCTTTGTATCCTCAGTGACTAGCAAAGTACCTGGCACCTCATAAACATTCAAAAACTGCTGTCTACTGACTGATGAGGTGATGAGGAAAAGACTGAGTCAAGCAGTCCATCAATAGGTGGCACTGTCAACACAGAACAGTCCAGGCGTAAGATGCAGATAGAAAAGAGGCTGGAGAGTCACAATGTGCATTAATACGAGCATCCACATGTGTAAAACTATTACCAGGTTGGTGTGGTAACTAGGAGAATCCCTTCAACTAAATCATTAGCTCTTTCCATTACTGCATAATGTGTAAGCACCATATTTTGAGTTAGTTTTTCTAATAATGAATCATAAGATAGCTTCTCTGTTGGAGCAGTGGTTATGTGGGATTTTCAGAACTTTCTCCTATGACCCTTGAAAATATTTTAATGTCATTTTTGTGATTATTAGAGTAATGCTATTCAGAAAACATAACAAAGTATAAACACTAAAATAAAAATTACCTATGATCCTATCATCCAGAGATAACATCTTTTAATATTTTACATATTTCATGCCAATCATTTTGCCATATATATGTGATGTTATAAATAATAACATAGTATATATTTCCTTATATTCTAATTTTCTCTCAATATATATTATACTGTATTGTCTCATGTTAGTAAATTTTTTATAAAATATGACTTTTAACAACTGCATCCACCATATGGATCAATTATCACTAATTTCACTATTTCTCTATCACATGACATTTAGACTGCTACAAATTTTTCACTATTATAGTAACATACTATATAAATTAATCCTTTTTTATGTTTAAAGTTCTACACTGCTGTTTTAGAATTCAAAGTGCTAACTATGATATACAGTAATAAAGGGTGGAGTGCTTGACTTCCCCGCAACCCACAAATTCTACTGAGGAATAATCAATAATCTGGGGCATTAAACAAACAAACAAACAAAAAAAAGGAACAAATTTTTATCAGCTTTTCTTCAGTCATTCTCTTCTTCCACATCTGGTAAGAAAAAGGAAAGTCCCACAAAGATAAGTCTCTGACATCAGAGAGGGTAAGAATAACAAGTCAATTTTCCTGCTAGAGCCTCGTCTGATTTCCACTAAGAATACTGAACCATCAATTTAAATAGGAATAGCACAAGATTTGTAATATCTCAAACATCTCTATTTGTATCAGTGCTTACATCCAGGTTTTCATAGTAAGATTGCTGAGAAAAAACCTGCAAACAAAAAAGATACTGTAACTAACATCACTCAATGAGAAAACAGTAAATTTTCTTTTACAATTCTGCCATGATGTTTATTATATTTTCGTCATATACTCTCTCTTCCTTCTTATAGCCTCCTAATTATTCCAAATATTATGCGAGTTGCCATAAATAGGCCAACAGCACCAAGAGCTTAAGAATCAATAACTGAGCCAGTGGTAATTCATGTGGAAAAGTTCAGAACAAATCAGCATCAGCTTCCTGGCTCTCTTGCACAAACGGAAAATTTATATTGCTTCACCAACTTTCAAAAGTGTAAATTTGTGTACATAAATTTAAAACTCAAGTCATAATTTACTCACATTTATTCCCAGTATTGGGCTGGTGCCAACATCAATTAACTTTCCTAAAAAGTACATGCTTATAAAATTCCACAATGAAGTGAGTCTAATCACTCAGAAAAAGAAAATTATGTAACATATAGTGTATATAATGATGATGATGATGATGATGATGATGATATATGCTATTCTCGACTCCTACTGAGATCTGCAGTTCAAAGGGAAATTGTGAAAAATGAAGCAAAAGTTGCCCAAAATGTTTAATTCTGGCCAAAACAAAACAAAGTTCCCATAAAAGAAGTCCAATACAATCTTTTGTTTCATCTTAAGTTCAAACAGGGTTCAAATCGTTCGGAAATTCTGTATACTCAAGTTTTCAAAAGCTGAATCCCAGATCTACTCTAAACATAAACTGCATAACTTACCCAAGAATCCTTACATATTACCCAATCTTAGGTTCCCCCAGAGACTATTTTTTACAATAATCTCAAATGTACAATAGACTAGTGTAACCTGGGCTACGCTGTTTACAGGTGTCTCCGCCTCCTTCCCCCAAGAGGAAAGGAGAAGAGACTGGGACAAGCAGAAAATAGAGACTATATACACCAAACAACAGTTTGTAATCTTGTAAAATTGCTTCTTTTACACTTGGGCTATTATTTTCATCAATGCATAATACATTTTAAAGAATAACATATTCCCAGAGTAACACAATTTCTGCCCTCACGGGTCTCTAGCTGGCTGACACGCTTTTCTCAAATAAATACATGCCTGTTGACTGATGCCTGTCCTGCTGCTGCAAACAAGAAATAACTGTCCTATAAGACAAAAACTCTTCTCTAACGCTCCAGGCGTGACTACAGGTTTGAATTAAAAGCACACTGGAACAATAACAAAAATCGTCCAGCACATCCGTCATTTAAAGGCACGATAATGAAAAGCTGTAGCCGCGACCCAGTTTCAGGTCACAAGGTTTTTTTTTTTTTCTCCTCCCCCCAGAAAGCGATAAACTTCAAAGGGAATGGTGGCGACCAGGAATCGTTTACCACCCTCCCCCACACACACAAAAAAAAAGACGGGGGGGGGGAACTGGCCAACTTGGACGCTGACTGGGCTCATGCTGGCCAGGGTAGGCTACGCAGACCCCAAGAAGGAAAATCGGGCCTCTAGGGGCCCGCTAGGCTCCCGCTGCCGCATGTTCAAAATATCGAGCAGGTGGGATTCCGGGAGGCCACCTCCGTCTTACGTAACGGGCTTGTCAAAATCCCAGCTCCAGGACCTCCCCTCTCATCGCCTTCACCGCCTCCGCCCCCACCCCCACCTCCCAACAACAGGAGCCCCAGGCCAGCCCGGAATAGAAAATCCGGAATGAAGACACTGGAGACCCCACGCGTCCGACGCAAAGGCACGGGGGCTACTCTCAGCACTGCCGCGCAAACCAGGAGTGGACCGAGCCCGCGGAGCACGGCCCGGCTCTGAGAAGCCCCCGGGCGGAGGTCGCGGCCATTCGCGCCACCTCTCCGATCCCGGCCGGCCCCGCTCCCGCGCCCACGGCTGTCACCGCTCCGGGCCGTGACATCTCCACATGCCACTCCTGTCCGCGTCGCCGCCCCCGCACTCACCTCACGGCTGGCTCCCGCGCCAGCAGCGGGTCGAGCTTGGAGAGGGGTGCCCCGTCCCCTCACGAGCGGCGGCGGGACACGAGGGGCTGACTGCCGCGGCGCCCTGAGCCCGCTTAGCTCATCCCCAGCCCGGCGCTCCGCCCTGCGCGGCACCCCCGCCCAGGCCTGCCGTCTCAGTCAGACGGGTCTCCCCCTCCCCTCGCGGCCGCCGCTGCCTCCGCCTCCTTCTCTGGCTCCAGCCGCTGCGGTCGCCGCCACTGAGACCGGCGCCATCTTGGCAGTGACGGAAAAGGTGGGGGCGGGGATAGCGACCCGCAAGCGCCAATCGCGGGCGAGGCCCGGCCCGGGGGTCGGGGCAGGGCCGAGTTGAGGGTCGTGGGGTCCTAGCGCCTGATGCTGAGAGATGGGCGGAGAAGGTGGGCGGGGCTCAGCCTTGCTCACGGGTGACGCGCGGTGTAGCTGGGGAAATGCGCCGTGGTTCCCCTTCTGGTCGGGAAATCCCGAGCCTGAGGCGCGCGTGGGCGAGACACACCTTCCCTTCCTCTTTTATCGCCCCGAGGGTTAGGGATCCGTCTTGGGCCACTTGACCTGTTTCCTCCTTCCTTCCCAGCAGCCCCGGGGGTCCTGACGGTGCCTAGCCAGAGCACTGCGTGTCTGTCGGAGCGGCCGCTCCTCCACCGAGGGGGCACTCAGATTTCCCAGAAAACCCCCTGAGGGGTTAGCAACCACCTAGTAGGTTTCGGTCCCGGGATACTGAAGGGCAAGTAAAATGGGGAATTGGGGGGGGGCGCGGGGGGTGGTTCTCTGAAAAGTACATTGATAAAACACCTATTGTTGACTGAAGGGGTGTTGATTACGTTGGATTAATGGGATATGGCCTACTTAAACCTGGCTATGGCTCCACTATTAGTGGCTGTTGGCAAGTTACCTCTGAAAAATAAGGATAATAAAGGTTGATTACCGCTACAGGGTTGCTCTAAGGGTTAAATTCTATAGTGCATGTGAAGTGCTTAGCATAGTGCCTGAAAGTACTCAATAAATGTTAGATATTATTCCATGGACAAATAAAGGGAGAAATAGGACCCTATAAAACCCCTCTGGTTTCAAGTCAACTTTCCTAAATTGTGCAAAATAGACATTAATCTCTTTTACTAATGGAGTTGGCAGCTCTTTCCTGTGTCCGCTTCTTTCATTGTATTCAGTCAGTCAGTCAGCAAACACCCACTGAAGCTCAAACGCTGAGGGACACAGTGGTGAGGGAAATAGAAAAGGTCTGCCTTCATGGGGCTGACAGTCTAGTGGGAAAAAGAGGGACAATAAATATTTCTCGCATTTGGGGGGAAATATGCTATAAAGGTTATGAACATAAATCTGGGAGAGCAAATAACAAGATAGCTTAAAAAAACAGAGTGGTCAGGAAAGGCCCATCTGAGGGATGAGAAGGAGCCAGTAATATGAGAAATGCCTCGAGGAATTGTTTAAGGAAGAGGGAAGGGCTGTGCAAAGGACTTGTGGTAGAAAGGAGCTTGGCTGTTGGAACTGAGTGGAGTCTATGGCCCTAGGGAATTCATGGTACAAGCAGGAGCCTGGCGTGAGAATGGAGAGTGAGTGAGGGCCCATTCCCCAAGGGCCTAGGAAGACATAGAAACAAGATTGGAGGGCCGGCCCTGTGGCTTGGTGGTTAAGTGCGTGCGCTGCGATGCTGGTGGCCCGGGTTCGGATCCCGGGTGCTCATCGAGGCACCACTTCTCCATTCATCCTGAGGCCGAGTCCCACATACAGCAACTAGAAGGATGTGCAGCTATGACACACAACTATCCACTGGGGCATTGGGGGGAAAAATAAAATAAATAAAATCTTTAAAAAAAAAAAAAAAAAAGAAACAAGATTGGATTTTATTGTCATTACAACTGAAAGCCATTGTAGGGTAGAGAATGACTCTGTTAGAGCAAGGGAGTTGGGAACAGTGACATTTGCCATATGACATCTATATCTGTATTTCAAGTGATATATGGGCCAAAGAACTGGATTTAAAGTAAAACAAACTGTCAGACAAAAATAAACTTGGAGTTAAGCCTCTTCAACACTAAGTTGGTCAAATTATGTGTTGATCTTCAATATCCTTATCATTGAAAAACGTGTGAGCATCACATAAGACTGTATAGAAAAATTCTACTTTCACTGAAAATTGTTGAATAATGTAATTTTTTTCTGTGTTTTGTGTGTTACATTACTGCCTAATCAATGTTATTTGATAAGTACATTTATTTCGTTTTTATTGATTGCAAGTAGTAATCCAAATCAGTCATTCTTACTCATTTTAGGACAATGTGCTACTAGGGAAAAGAATGTGAATTGTTATAAATGTGTAATTTCCTGACGCTGTAGTTCCAAATGTATTTTTAGGTGCTTAGATCTGCATTTTCTAATGAAATTTGCTATCAAGACATGAATTTTAAAAAATGTTTTTACTGGGGGTCGGCCCTGTGGCATAGCGGTTGGGTGCGCGTGCTCTGCTGCTGGTGGCCCGGGTTCGGATCCCAGGTGTGCACTGACGAACCGCTTGTCAGGCCATGCTGTCGCACCGTCCCACATAAAGTGGAGGAAGATGGGCACGGATGTTAGCTCAGGGCCGGTCTTCCTCAGCAAAAAGAGGAGGATTGGCGTGGATGTTAGCTCAGAGCTGATCTTCCTCACAAAAAAAAATAAAAATAAAAAATAAATAAAAAGTGTTTTTACTGTGGTAAAATACACATAACATAAAGTTTACCATTTTAACTTTTTTTTTTGGTGAGGAAGACTAGCCCTAAGCTAACATCCATTGCCAATCCTCTTTTTGCTGAAGAAGATTGGCCCTGGGTAACATCTGTGCCCATCTTCCTCTATTTTATGTGGGATGCCTGCCACAGCACGGCTTTATAAGCAGTGCATAGGTCTGAGCCCAGGATCTGAACCTGCGAACCCTGGGCTGCTGAAGCGAGCGTGCAAACTTAACCACTATGCCACTGTGCCAGCCCCATTGTAACTATTTTTCAGTGGACAGTGCAGTGACGTTAAGTACCTTTGCATTGTTGTGCAGCCGTCACTACTATCCATTTCCAGAACTTTTTCATCATCCCAAACTGAAACTCTGTATCTAATAAACAATAACTCCTATTCTACTGTCTAAGACATGTATTTTTTAAAGGTATCTGGTAAATCCCCCCATCCCCAAATTAGCAAATGGCGTTGGTGATCAGTAAGATTGTTTGCTCACATTGAAGGTTCAGTGGACCATACCATGTAAGTTTAGAAACCACCACCCAAGAAATAAGGGTTAGCGTAAGCTTTTAGCTCAGATGGCTAACACATCATACTAATGAGGAGTACTAATAGAGGATCAATTAATTTTTAGCACTGAAAACCTGTGTTCCATGACCATAAAAGGTGCTTTAGAGTCTTATAAGTGTATACTCCAAAATGGCCCGAACAACCTGCCCCCCATTCATGTACAAATACTCTAAATGCATATCTGTTTAATGCTATTAATTTTCATTAAAAAATAAATGATTCCAGCTCGAGGTAAATTTAATTTTAAAAATCACTCTTCTGTGAAGAATGGATTAGAAAAGGGCAAGAGAGAAGGAAGCAAGTTTTTGCCATATTTCAAATAATCAAGCATTCCATACAGTGACGAAGTTCAAAAGATCAAGATTTTGACCTGAAAATACTTGAGTTGATAACTTTTTGTTTTTTAAGCACATCCTATATGCAGCATTTTAACCCCATTAAACAAAAAGCTAAATCTCTTTTCCGGGCTGGATCCTCTCTCCCCGCTGCCCGTGTCATCCACAGTGTTTTTATCCCCAACGTGAGGGCATGGCTATAGGCCAGTCAGTGATTGCAAAGGGGAGGTTATAGCATAAAACAACACAGGGCAACTTTTGCAGTTGATGGATATGTCCACTATCTAGACTGTAGTGATGGTTTCAGCGTGTATACGTATGTCAAACTTATCAAGTTGCACACTTTAAATAAGCATAGTCCTCTGTATGTCAGTTACATCTTGATAAAGCTGTAAAAAAAACTGAAAGTCCAATTGGGAACATCCCATTCTTTCCCCATGGGCTGCAGATACAGCCTTTCATTGGTTTTAATTGTTATGAGACCTATCAGGTCAATTCTTCTTTGAGGAGTAGTGTAGTGTATCAAAACATTTGACTAGCAACAAAAAGCACTCTTTCAATTGGCAAAAAAATTCAAATATTTTCATCTACATTACAGAATACCAATTAAAATATTATAGATACATAGTTGCAAGCATAGTTTACAGAATAGAATTCTAAAAAGTTTCTGAACTTGAAAAGGTTTGAAGTAGTTTTTTTTTTAATCAAAGAAAACACTTTCTGAAAGAACATAATAAAAAGCAGTAGAAAAACGATAAGCACTATTTGACTGCATACTCAGGAAGTGCCTTTAAGTACCTCAGAGCCCTTGACAGTCATATCATGAGTCCTCAACATCCCAGGCATATATCACCATAGTCGCAGTTAAACAAACTTAAACCCTAAATGTGGTTTGGGCAAGGAAGTCTAACAATGCAGACATGGGCCGGATAGAAAAATGTGGCTTAGAAATGTGGGCCCCATGCCATTTCTGAAATTACGTCATCTTTTACACCTGGAACTCTATCTGGCTATTTCTTAGAAGTTATTTTTAAATACTGTGGTTTGAACGACGCATGAAGGAAAACTATGAAACCAGTAACAGTTTAAAGCACTGGAAGCTCTAGCTGTTGTATGGCCTAATCCTCTCCACCTGTTAAATCTATTCACCTTAGTTGCTATACCATAAGTTTCCCACATCTTTAAATGAAAACCTGGAGCCTTCTATAAAGCAGTTCTTGATATCTGTGCCATGGGGCTTCCTTATGGGTCAGAAAGCCTTCCATCAGGGATTTATGGTCCTTTAGAAACTCTTTGGAAGTGTCCCAAGGCAGAACACACGTTGCCACATTTTATTCATTGTGAAACAGTGTTAGAATAACATTCCAATGTATTTAATCCACAAACTGAAATTTATTAGTAATGTTGTCCAATTATAAACTTTTCTTAAAAACACAAATCTGATGAAATACTTCTGAAAGGCAAATTATCTGAACAACTTGCAAGAATAATATTGTCATATTGCAAATGACAAATTCTAAACCCGCTACTTGAGGGGAGTGTCCAGGGACAGGAGGGCTGCAGCAGTCTGAGCCCCTGCTGTCTCTACCATCTTG